ACTCCTGAGACGCCCTGGCGCGGAGGGGGGCGGGAAGGGATCGCTGAACCCAGGGGCGGGCGGCAGAGAGTCTCCTCCTGGCTGGAGGTGCAGGCCCACCATCGCCGCTCCGGGCTCCGAGGCGGGGGCGGGGGACGCTCCCGGGTCCAGGTTCGGCTGCTGGGGCACCCGGAGTTCACTCTCAAGGCCCCAGCGCCGCTGCTGCGGTCCGCTCACGGGTCCGGGGACGTCGAGGGAACGCGCGCGCGCGGGAGTGGCGCGCCGTGCCTAGCGGGGAGCGGAGGGAGCACGCCGGCCCGCGGCCGCGCCTCCTTCTGGGTCTGGGTGGGAGCGCAGGGGACCGCCGCTGGGGCCCCGCGCGTTGTCCCCGGGGCGCCCGAGAGAGGAGAGCGGGCGCGAGCTCCCACCCCCTGGCCACGCGCGGAGAGGATCTGGGAGGCCGCGAGGGGCTGAGCCGGCCGGAAGCAGACGCGACTTCTCGACCACCCTGGGCGCTGCTTTTCTTGCCCTCGACCGCTGGGAGCCACAGCAGGTGTGGGGACCCCACCCAGGCGGGCCGGGGAGTGACCGGTGGCCGCTTCCAGCTCCTCCGTCTTGGCGGCGGCGCGGACCCCACGCGGTCACCTCGCATCTCGGACGGCATCAGGAGGCCCCCGACCGTGTCCTAAGCCCCAGGGCGCCAGGAGGCCGGCGACCCCAGAGCGAGCTCGAGCCGGGTGCCAGACGTGCAGTTCCACGCCAGACGGCGAGTTTTGCTTTCTTGAAGAACCTGACATAACATCATAAATAAGTACATCAATGAAATTATTTCATTCAGCCAGCTTTCCAGCTGCCCCAACGGGTGTCACTCCCAACAGCAAAGCGCCACCTTCCCGATTTAATTCGAACTGAATAATCCACCTGTCTTTCTAGCGATCTGAGGACGGATGGGTGGGGTGGGTCGCTTGTTCGAGAGAGGGCCTCAGCCCGTCTTGCAGGTGTTGATAGGTGAGAAAGCGCACTTCCTCGCCAGCTCCTCGGTGTGCCCCCCCCGTGTACTCTCGGCGGAGTCGGTGGTGGTCTACCTTCGGAGAGACCCCGTCCACTCCCGGGCCGGCCCCCGCCCCCTCGCCCGAGGTTGGTCTGGCCTCAGCCCCGCTGCGGAACCTGCCCTCCCGGAGCTGGAAGTTGAGCGGATCGTCTAGGGAATTCATTAAAGAACGTATTTGTATCTGAGGTCTGATCCTTTCGATCTACTTGGTTTCAGAAACTGATATAAAGTCATCCACCAGATTTTCATCCTATTTTTATGGTAAATTTCTTTGTTATTTCCGGGCAGGAACATGTACCTTTTAATTCTTGAGAATACTTGAGAAAAGTGTCTTGACAATAATGTAGGACTAGATTCAGCCAATCTGATGGATGGCAGGATTTTTTCTCTTTTCTTTCTTTTTTTCTTTTTTTGGTCATCAGAGCTTAGACTTCATTTAATAGTAAATTCAATTAACATGATTTCAACAACGTTTTCAGAGAAAACTTTTAAACATAAAACATTTTGAAAGACATGTTGGTTGAAATTATTTATATATGACAATTGAGTATATCGTTCATATAGAAGTTAGGATTGTTTGACTGATGAATAAAAAATATAGCATATGTGAAATTCTCCAAGACCTGCAAAATATCTAAACAACATAAACAGTTTTAAATGATTTGCTGATTCTGCTAATACTTCTTTTAAAGTGTGCTTCACATTTCTTGTATGTAAGATCTAGTGTTCTGTGATAAGAACCTTGTTTTCAATTTAGGGAACACCAAGCTGTTATAGATCACACATTTAAGTGATTAGAATAAATCTCCAATATACTAAATTTTAAAGAAAGCACATTTTTAAACAAAATAGAAACTATCATGAGAAACGTGATTATTATAAAAGAAAATGCCTATTTCAGGAATTTAAAATAATATGGCAAGGTAGAAAACAATAAAAACACTCTCTGAGATACTTGCCTGATTCCAGAAAATCTAAATCAATTAAAAAATTAAGACAGTAATTTATAATTATAATATACAAATAGAGGTTAAAATATCTTTGATTTGTAAATCCATTTATGAAAATGATTTTAAAATAGCATAAAAATAAAATG